GGACTCACACCGGAGCAGCTGAGTCTAGCTTGCATCACTGCTGAGGGGAGCCGCGGGCAGGTCAGGAGAGGTCTGCCACGCCATGTGGTCACCTCCGGGGCAGGCGGGAATCGAACTCTTGTGGAAGTGGTTTTAGCTTCTCAGTGCTGTGCTTTAACCCTCTGCGCACCAGGGAGGGCCGTATCTGTCAACTTTTATCCCCTAATATTACAGGTTTGCCTCCAGACATCACAGTGGATGAATTTATACAGCTCATGTCCAAATTTGGCATTATTATGAGAGATCCTCAAACAGAAGAATTTAAGGTCAAGCTTTACAAAGATAATCAAGGAAATCTTAAAGGTGATGGGCTATGCTGTTATTTGAAGGTTAGTTACATGATCAGATGATTTGCTCAGATCTCCATTTTTAGCCCAGGAACCAGGAGTGTTATTTTGTAGAGGTGAAAAGCAAAACTAAGAACTATTCAAAACATTGTATGAAGAGAACAGAAATTGCAATTTGTGCTTGTGTGTACCACACTGGTAAAGCATTTGGTGGTCTTTCTATGGAAAAATATGTTGTCAAATCAAACTTGTTTTGTATTATAAGAATTCTTATTGCAGAGACCTAGGAATTTTCAGTCTTACTCAGAATGAATTCAGTTTTTAAAAATCCCCAAAGAAAAGAAGGCAGTAACATTTCTTTGCCCCTTGGGGTGAATTAAACCAGGGTTCAGCAAATAAAGTTTTATTGGGGCACAACCACACTGGTTAATTTACATATTTATCTAATAACTGCTTTTGTATGTCAGCATCAGGGGTGTGTGGTTTTAGCACAGACAGTGTGGTCCACAAAGCTTTAATATATTTACTAACTAGTACTTTATAAAAGAAGTCTTCTGGCGCCTGAATTCAACCATAAAGAATATGATGGTTTATGTTTGCCTTTCTGAAATAGTTTTTGAATGGAAAAAAGAAAATGGTTGTAACAAATTTGCAGAACTGTGTGTCCATGATACTAAATGGTTGTAACAAATTTGCAGAACTGTGTGTCCATGATACTAAAACTTAGAGTAAAAAATTTGCAGAACTGTATATTCATGACACTAAAAGTTATCCAGAGAGAGCACGTTGTCAAGGTTGCCATCATTTCTGGAACAGCCATTACCTTAGGAGCTTGTGTTTCACATTATTGGGGGGGTACAAAAGAAACAGGCATGATGATGACAGACTTTTGTCATAGGAGCTGAAAATGACTGCAAAGTAAAATCAGAGTGACACAGCAGTATAAACACCAGGGGTGTGTTGTGAGTCCCAGCCTTCTGATGGGACTGGAAGGGCGTGGGGTTAAACTGACTGCTTTTGGGGAGGTGCACTTTGGACCTGGTTCTTGAGCATGATGGGGATGGTGGCACATGAGGATGACCATTGTAGGGAAGGCGTTATGTGATTGTTAACACGGAAGGAATTTGGGAGTTTCGCAAGTGCCTCAAAGATTATTAAAAATCTAGGAACAGATTAATAAGGGGATTGATCGGATTTTAAAATTTTTAATAAAAATATTAAATATGTGTAATTTGTGACCCAGATTGGCAAACCAGTAAATTAAGTTACAAAAGATATAGTTAATTGCTCCAGGTTCCGTATTTGTGCTTAGCTGAGTTGAATTGTCCTCCTCTGATCTAGGTCCTCATGTCTTCAACTTTGTGTAAGGCTGACAGCCCTCCATTTCTGTAGGCCCCAGAATCCACCAGTGTATTTCACGTGCAGGCCATTGGTAATCTTTTAGTTCTCGGTCTATTCCAGACCTACGTTTTAGTTGCTGAACAAAAAGGTGAAAGGCTAACTATACTATTCCCAAGTTCCTTGAGTCTAATCTTTGAGTGTTAGAAGAATTTCAGACTTGGAATGTCCCATTGAACTCATGCAGGTTGCCTTGTTCTGCAGATAAGAAAATGAGGCTCCAAGAGGCAAGTCTGCTTTTGTAATAATGAGCACTCGTGGAGCATCTACCATCTGCCAGTCACTGAGAACTTTACATAAGCAGTTCGCTGAATTTTGCTTTGCGCCCTCCGATGAAGGCATTACTGTTCCCTTTATAGGGGAAGAAATTGAGGCTCACGGAGCTTAAATAACTTGCCGAAGTTCACATTGCTGGTTGGAGACCTCTGTGTCCTCAACACAGCTTTTGTGATACATGTTCTGGAGTTCTTTATCTTAAAATAGGGAGTTAACAAGTCTTTATTGCAGGTATAGTCATTATTCATCTGACACAACTGAAGTTTTATTTTACTGTGTAACTTGCTGGCTATACCTTGTTTTGCCTTTATAAAGAGGGAATCTGTGGACCTCGCTTTGAAGCTCTTGGATGAAGATGAAATTAGAGGCTACAAATTACACGTTGAGGTTGCAAAGTTTCAACTGAAGGGGGAATATGACGCTTCAAAAAAGAAGAAGAAGTGCAAAGACTACAAGAAGAAATTGTCTCTGCAGCAGAAGTTTGTGGTTTTTTTTTTTCCTTTTTGAAAGAGCCACTTAGTTTTGTTCCACTGAGTATGCCTACAAATTATTTTAAAGGAATATCATTTGATCATTGGGAACTTTTTATATACGTTAGGATGATTTGATGGTGGTTTTCATTTTCTGGGATGTTTATTTAATGGGGTTGAAGGTAAAAGAGCCATCTCTTCCGAAAAATGTTGACCACCAGATTAACTAAGACAGATCAGGCTAGTGTACCAAAGTTCATTTTTGATGTGGATTGAACCTTGGCTACATCTGGATCTTGAATTCTTGTGTATAAGTTTGTTAGTAGGAACTGGAAATGATAGGTTTGTCATATTTGCTGTATATGATTTCATCAGGTTTCTATTTGGTTAATATGCTTTTTGAAATGTACTAGATTTAAGAAATGCATTAAGTGCTTTCCGTTGTCACGGGAGTGAGTTCTAGTGGCCCTCTGACACTGCATAAGCCAGTGAGAGAATCATCTGGCTGCGGGTACTTCTGATGTCCTGCCGCTAGTGTGGGAAAAGGTGAAATCGACACCTTCATACTGTGCAAGTAAGAGTAAAACTTAGGGTGTAACACTGAATAGTTTCACATGTTTCAGTGCAGTGAGTTCTTTGTAATCATAAAGTACCTAAAACCAATGTATAACTTGAACAGTTTTTAACTCTTAACGTGTAAGTACAATTAAGCAGTAGTTCCCAGGATCTCACTGGAATATTTGTAATCAAACAGCAGTCCTGGAAAAAAATTATTCTGGGAATTTCAGATACTGGATCCTTCTTTTACCTGCCCATTATTTTTCTTTTGGAGAGTTCTCTGAGTGGAATGGTGACTAATACACATCATTGTTTAAGAATCAAATATCATAATTAAATTCTCAATAAAGTATTGTATTCATTTTTTCCCTCAAGCAAGTAGGAAATGAAATTCACAATTTCTTCTTTGTTGCATTAGGCAGTTGGATTGGAGACCTGAGAGAAAAGCCGGACCATCTCGAATGCGCCATGAGCGAGTTGTCATCATCAAAAATATGTTTCATCCTATGGATTTTGAGGTAGGAGACAGTGACAGGAACAATGACATGCTTGCCTTAGGGGAGTCAAGGGTCACCCTGGTGGCACAAGGGTTAAAGCACAGCACTATGAAGCAGTCTGCAGCCACTGCAGCACGAGTTCGATCCCTGGCCAGGGGGGTGGTTCACATGGCCCAGCAGACCTCTCCTGGCCTGTCTGCTGCTCCCCTCAGCAGTGGATTTCAGTGTATCCACCTGTTCTGCTCCCCACTCTGTCTCTGGTATATCCTCTCATCTCCCATACCTCTGTCCTACACCCCTGTTGTATGCATAAATAAATATTTAACAAAAATAGAGTGCAGTGTTCCCCTCACCCCTTCTTTCTCACAACACATCCTACATGCTGATGTAGTAGTCAGGGTAGGAAAGTGCAGTCAGGAATCAGTCTGAGTTTTCAGTTCCTCCAAGGCTTAGCCCAGTGTTCTTTTAGTCGTCTCCCTGGTAAGACTTTAATACCCAGTTGGTGGCCCAAAATCATTAAAGGTTTGTGGGAGCTGCTGGTGGATGTGGAGTGTAGTACAAATAGACTGATTTCAGCGGAGAAGACCAGTTTTACATGTGTCAGTGAAAATTTTGCTTTGATGCCAAAAAGTTTGAGCCTTAAGAAAAAGAGTCTCAGTTTAATGAAATAAAGCCCCAGATGTTTATAGTGGAGGTTGTTTCTCAGGGCCTAATTTTTATAGAACCATTTAGTGGTTATTACAAGACTTTCTAATCCTCAATGCCTATGTAAAACCCAAGGACAGCAACTAAATGTGAGTAGGCAAGAGGAGCCACTAGAGTGGGTTAAGGAACAGGGATTGTTGCCTCATTGGGTAGGGTGCAGGGTGCTGTGTTCTGCCTCTGTCTGTTGGTCTAGACCGGTGGCATTGCTCGTGGAAGAACAGTTCTTTATTTTCTGCTGCATTCTGAAGTTAACGATAACAAGTAACACATAGGAAAGAAAATGGAAAATTCCAGATTTACAAATGATCTGGTTGCAAGCCAACCAACTCTTGCTGTATTTGTGCATGTAACAGAGTCAGCTGGCAATGTTTAGTCCCCTTACAGGGGCCCCGAATGGTCTGCTGTGCGCTGCCCTGGCCAAGAGGGTCGGGTTTACCGGACACCCATTTGTGGACATCGGGAAGCTGTGTGGTCTGTTTATAATGTTGCTTGATGTCTTTGGACGAGAATCCTGAAGAATCTTGAAGTCTAACAGCTACCTTAGACTTGTAGTGATAATAAACTGTGTTAAAATAGTTCACATGTACACATGCACAATAGTTGCTCTTTGAAAAGCTGTTCTTGCCAGGTGGCTTGACAGGCATGTGGAGCTGGGGCCGCTAGGTGCCACTCCGCAGCCTCCTGTGACTGGTCACGTTTCTGCCTCCTTGTCAGTAGTTGGTTTTGTTGTTATTCTTAGGTGACCTATTAATTTCTGTGATTTGAGGTCACTGATTAAACATCCCATGCTCCTAATGCTTGAAATTTAATTCAGACTCTCTGGAACTCTGCAAGCTGAAGTCATCCTGTAATGACATCTGTTTCCGTTTCTGCCTCCTGTCTTGCCTGTCGAGACACTGCATTTGAGTCTAGCTCTCAACCTGGAGCGACTTAGATTTTCCTAACTTAACAAATATTCTTTCCTTCAAAAAGCCAACAGGAGCTCTACCTCGTTCCCAGTATTTGGATTGTGACTGGCCCACAGTAGGCCCTCAGTATGTCTGTATTTTAATAAGCCCTCAACATTTATATGAAGGAAAGGTGAGAGAATGGTGGAATCAACTCCCTGTTATTCATTCTCCCAGTAGGTAAATATTTTCTCTTTAGCATCTTTATAGATGAGGTTTTCTGTTCAGATGCTTCTGCCATGACACCTGGAGGCTTTGATAGAGAAAGAAGATTCTCCCTTCCATGGTGGAATCATGTTTAAATTTAAGATGTGTTTACTAATTTGAAAGAATTTTGTTTTTAATAAAATTCTGCTTTCCCTTGGCAAGTAATTGAAGTGGCAGAATTAGTTTATCAAGCTCTTAAAAAGAACTTGTTGGCTGTTCACTGTGTGTAAAAGACTGCCTGTGTGAGGCGCTCAGAACTCAGTAAGAAGGGCCCGTCTTCTGGGGCCAGCCATGCGCACCCCCGCGCCAGAAGCCCGGGTGTGACTTCACCGAGTGACTGCTTGCGCCATGCTCCATTCCTCTCAGGTCTTAACCACTTTTTGGGAAGCAATTTGTCATCTCCCTAGAGCAGGAGAAATGCAGGATCCTGCAGGCTGCAGTTTTAAAGTCTCATATCTGTAGAACTTTTATATTTTTGAGTTTAAATTCAATTTCTTTAGCTATCAGTTTTTGTTTTTTGAGAGAGCTTTGGGAGTTCTTTACAATTCCTCTTTAGTTGGTAAGAAAAATAAAAACCTGTGAGATAGATTAACTGCTAAAAAGTGTTAAGTCTGCTAGAAACGTGTATCTTTGTATGTAATTGAAATTCAAGTCAATGCTGTAATTTATTATGAGCCTTTATTGTGGCTTGGACTTGATTCTTAATTCTCATAGGGAGTCTTAAATCCTTTTGTTACCGGAGGAGAGCTGCTTGAACTCAAGACCACCAGAAGCAACTGCTTGAGTATTTGTAAACAGACTTGTAGTTGCAAGAAAACAATAGCTGAAAATGTATTTTATTACTGCCAAGTAACACTCCTCATTTGTGTGATTCTGTAGCAATTGGTAGGAGATGAGAATATATATCTATGTATGGGAGGTTTACCCTGTGAGTTAAACAGACCCTTGGAAGCAGGAGAAACAATCTTACAACAGTTACTCAACCAAAGGGACCTCTGTATTGGTACAGCATTTCTGTAAATAGGCATCTATGCAAAACACAAAGCAAAGGGTTCTCATGGCTCTTGTGACACCCCGCAGTGAGGATTTTGTGTCTGATTCCATGTAAAGGGGTTTCCATGCCCCTTCCTGCCTTCTCTGCCACTGCACACTCACTGCTGCCTACTGACTTGTCCACTTCCTCCCCCTTCAAGCGGGTGCACCTGTAGAAGCAGGTCATGGTGATCTGACTGCATTTGATTTTTATTTGTCTTAAATTTTGTAGACTGCAGACAAACCTTTTGTAATTTGTTGGTTTCACAAAGCAAGAAAATTGATTCTTGGGATTTGTACCTAAAAAAGAAAGGCAAACCTCTTTTAACCCTGTGCCATTTTGCAGGATGATCCATTGGTGCTGAATGAGATCAGAGAAGACCTTCGAGTAGAGTGTGCAAAGTTTGGACAAATTAGGAAGCTCCTTCTCTTCGATGTAAGTTCATGGCTGGGACAAAGGATCCTTAAAGCATTGAATCTTCTGGCTTAATAAGTGATTACCAGATGGCAATCTGTCCGGTCCCCCCCCCCCCACTCCCAGGGGACTGCTTTATGGAGCTGGTCTGCTGTCTGGTAGGAGTCATTTCTTAGCAGTAGTTCCATGGACCTGGGTTACAAGTCAGGGCTCTGCTGGGCTTTGTATATGTGATTCGTTCTCTTTTTCATCAGTTTAGAATACCTGGTCAAATGTAAAAAAAAAAAAAAAAAAAAGTACAAGGACAATGGATGAAATCTTATGGCTTCCTATTGGCCACATTTCCCCTTGTAAGTTATTCTTTTCTGAATTTGGAGAAGAACAATCCAAAGAGTATCCTTCCGTATGTTCCCCTTCTCACTTTTTTTTACTTCTCAAATGGACATGAATGATTAAAGACAGCAGTTACTGAGTGAGTGCCACCAGCTACTGACAGGTGCTCTCGTTTGATCTTCGCAACCCTTTGAGTTAGGTGGGTGCTATTATACCCATTTTACAGATAAGAAGGCTGAAACTAGGGGTTGGATGCCTAGCCCAAGGTCAGTGAGCTGGTGAACGACAGAGCCAAGATTTAATTAGAGGGCTCTTTGATTTCTGCATCTACGCTTAATGCTTAACAAGTTTACTTTCTTGCCTCTCACTAGACTATTGTCAGCAGAAGCGTTTCCAAAGGTATTGTGTTTGGTTCTTGCTAAACAAGATTCAGCTGAAGAACCAACTAGGGAAGAAAAGACTGTACAGAAAATGCTGACGTGTAGAACCTTTACTGCTTAGCTACTTTGTCAAGCGTGTATGGTTTTTTAAGCCTCAGTTTCCTTTCTCTCTCCTTTCCCTCCTTCTCTGGTCCCCCTCCCTCCCTTCCTTACCCATCCTCTCCTCTTCCTTATCCACCTCTTCCACTTCCTCCTCCTTTTCTTGTGTTTGTAGAGACACCCAGATGGAGTGGCCTCTGTGTCCTTCAGGGATCCAGAGGAAGCTGATTATTGCATTCAAACACTTGACGGACGATGGTTTGGTGGCCGTCAAATCACAGCAGAAGCTTGGGATGGGACTACAGATTATCAGGTAAATGCTGCAACTGTCAAGAACACCAGTTGTTTCATCACAAACAACTACTAATCTAGCAATCCTTCAGCTAAGTTTCGGGTTCTGTTTATTAACAATACTTCTTTTAAATAATACTTTGCATGCAGAAGGTAAACAGAAAAATATTTTGGTCTTTCAATTTGTAAGTCTGAAATTTTGAGGATTGCTGAGAACTGAGAACTCCTTAAATCAAAACATTGCTGTTCTTTTCTGTGTTAAAAATTAGAGCCAGAGCTGAAATGCCAACTTTTTACTTGATGAGACATTTCTGTAGTGCTCTGGTGTTTAGCATTTATTGAAGTGATCTCATTTACAGTTTAACCCTAGAAAATCTAAATGTAAAGTTGAAAACTGAAGCTAGGGAATTGCTTCGGTTACCTAAGAAGACATGCTTTATAACAATCAGAGTACTTTTATTGATATTAGAAGTACTCATTGTTGACTAATTTTTTGGTCTAAAACTGATTGTAATGACAGTTTACACTTACACACAGGTGGAAGAAACCACAAGAGAAAGGGAGGAAAGGCTGAGAGGATGGGAGGCTTTCCTCAATGCTCCTGAAGCCAACAGAGGCCTTCAGCGTTCAAATTCTGTCTGTGCTTCAGAAAGGGCAGGACCTTCCAGAGTGAGGCATTTTTCCGAGCACCCTAGCACATCTAAAGCGAATGCTCAAGAAGCCATAAGTGACATGGCATTTGAAGAACCTGTAGAGGAAAAGAAATTTGGAAAAGTAGAAGATGGAGAATTTGAAGAAGATGCATCAGGAAAAAATCCTAAAGAAGCTGGCCCTGAAAAGGTGGCTGAAGTAAGTTATCCCCCCAAAAAACTTGAAGAAGGCTGCCTCGAGAATCAGTCTGAGGAAGCCTGCCTCAAAAGAAAGCATGATGAAGACGGCCCTGGAAGAGAATCTGGAGAAAGCAGCGTGGGAAAAGAGTTTAAAGATGGCAGTCCTAAAAAGGAAGCTAAGGAGAATGGTCCTGAAAAGGAATCAGAAAAGAAGAGACTCAAGAATGATTATGAGGAGAATGGCCTTGAAAAGGGGTTTGAAGAAGGTAGCCCTGACAAGGAGGGGAAAGAGAGCAGCTCCCCAAAGGAGTCTGAAGAAGATGTCTCAGAAGGAGACTCTGAAGACTGCTGTGAAAAGCATTTTGAAGGTGGCTCTGAGAAAGAATTTGAAGAGAATGGTCTCGGAAAAGATTTTGATGAAGATGACGCTGACAAAGATTTTAATGAAAATGTTCTTGAAAAAGAGCTAGAAGAAAATGACTCTGCAAGATCAGAATTTGATGATGACAGCTCTGAAAACATGTTAGATGAGGAAGGCTCTGAGAGAGACTTTGACCAAGAGTCGGAGGAAAAGGAAGAGGAGGAGGATACATATGAGAAGGTATTTGATGATGAATCTGATGAAAAAGAGGGTGAAGAAGATGCAGATGAAAAGGAGGAAGATGCAGATGAAAAGCTGTTTGAAGAGTCAGACGAAAAGGAGGATGAAGATGTAGCCATAAAGGAAGATGAAGACGCCGACGACAAGTTGTATGCATTCGAAGACGATGATTCCAGTGAGAAGCTGTTTGGCGACTCTGATGAGAGAGGGAGTGTAGGTGGTGTGGGGGACCCTAAGGAAGAAGGCCCCCTGTCCACAGGCAGCAGCTTTGTCCTCAGTAGTGATGACGACGACGATGACGACATTTAACCCCTTCAACGTGCTTTTTAGGGAAGACTCCTCCATCTCCATCTTGCCTGTTAGTCAGGGTAATCACAGTAGTGTCACATGAACATGTGCATAGGGGTAGAGCGCCGTCAGATTAATGTATTGATGTTTTCATTGTACTTCATGATTTTAAATACATGTTAAGTGGCTGTTCAGTTAAAACTTCATAGTTACAGTGCAAATAAACTGGATACATGTCCTTTGTCGGATTTGTTAAATGCATGCAGAATAATATTTTTTAAAAGTATTCTGATTGAAGTTTGTGATATTCAGAAATAAAAATTAAGTTGTTAATATGCAGACAGTGAAAACTGGCCTTGAGTTAAATTGCTGCTATTGCTTTATTCATACTAAAATTTGGTTTTTCTAATAGAGGACTAGAAACATCCCATAGGGGTCTCTTTGCTTCCAGCTTATGTTAGCACTTATTTCCCCATTTCCCTGCTATAAGCCAGGTGTTACCAAACTTCTAGAGTAAGTAACACTTTGGAGTTTTCCCTTAGCCAGTCTTTGCAAGTTACTTTTGTTTGCTGCCCTCTTTCTATGAACATTGACCCTTGGATGTGCAAGAGTGAACTTCCTGCATATATGCAGGAAGACATTAGAATTAAATCATGTACTGTTTGGACCCTTTTACAAGTTGATTAAAGTTAAGGAACCTCCCCTCAGAAATCTGTATGCACCCACTACACAACTTTTGGTATACAGTTTGGGGAGGGCCTTGGCACCTGGAACAGGCACTCCAACTTAAGAACTGCTTTTGTCATTCGTACTTCAGTGTTTTGTTCTAGAGTCAAGGTGCCCAGAACTGTGCTGAGTTGTGTAGTCCCAGTGCAATTCGGGTCTTGTTTATGCTTTCCAAATTCAGTATTGATGAATTGACTTCTGATGTAGAATTAAGAAGTTACTCATAAATTCGAAGTATTATAAAATAAACTGCAATGATGCTTTTTCATGATACAGCTGTAAGTGTAATCTTTACCCTCTCTTAGACAGGAAAGAATTATACTTCAAGCCAGATTTCTGAGGATTTTTTAGTTGCTGTATGGGATTTCTTAAAATCAGAATTTCCACCAACGATTCATCAATAAAAGGTGAAGAGGGCCCTCCCTGGTGGCGAAATGGTTAAAGCACAGCACTATGAGGCTGTCTGCAGCCACCATACCATGAGTTTGATCCCTGGCCAGGGAGGTGACCCACACTGTGGCAGACCTCCCCTGACCCACCTGCTGCTCCCCTCAGCAGAGTATTTCAGTCAGTCTGCCTGTTCTCCCTGCTCTGTCCTGGTGAATCATCCCCCTCACCTCTGACATTTACCCCAGTTATATTGTGTGTATAAATAAATCTTTTTAAAAAGGTGAAGAAAATTAAATATAGAAAAACTGCAAACCAAAATAATGTTCTCTTTGCAGATAAGCCAGGAGTGTGTAAACACTAAATGTGCCGGAGAATTGGTTTTTTAAACAAAAAATGCATTATCTCCCATGCACAGTAGTTGGGACCTGTGATCACAGCGTAAATTAGCTCTAGGACATTCGGTGGGTGCTGTTTTCATTCTAACTTCATTTGGTTGATGGCAAATACTTCTTTTTATATATACACCCTGGAGACAAGAGTCATAAACAGATACAAAATAGTAAATAATTTATGAGGTGACACAAGCAGCCCTGAGTGCACGCGACACAGTTGCCTGTTTACTAGGGAATCGGGTTTCACTGGTCCTGAAAATGGAATTAACTGTGAGGCAACAATACACAGTGTTGTCAAAGGAGAAATATGGGGGTGAATTTTAAGCACAGAATGTTCAATTACCTGATAATGTCTAAAGTAAATACTTAAGGCTAAAATACAGAATAATGTATTCAGTCCTGAGTGCATGGAGCAGAAGCGGCCTTGGGACGCCTCTAAGTGGCTCGAGTGTCCTGCTCTGAGTCCGCTAACTTGAAACTTCGCATTAGAAATTAAAAATACTACTGGCCTTCTGCATGATTTCACTCATGCAGTGAATATAAACGGACTATAAATGGGAAACCAGACAAAATTAAACCCTAGAAATTAAACTAGAATTGAGGCTCCCAGAGTGGGGGTGGGGACTCGAACTGTGGTGGAAGGTGATGGGCACCTTGGTGAAGGCGAGGTCTAGTATCTAAGCATCGTGTAGTGAGCTAGACCTCCATACATTGTGTTGCAAACCAAAGTTATTTCAATAATGTATTAAAAAATATTCCTGGTCTTGGCAGTATTACTGAAAGATTTGATGTCATTACTTCTTTCTACAAAGAACAAAACCCCAAGATGTGACAGGGCAAAAGCTAATTGTTCCAGGATCTGTTTTCTTCTCACGTAAATGACACTGGACTCGGGTAAGCCCCAGCTTGCCAAATAGAATCCATTTGGAAGCCACCTCTTTTTTCTTTTTAGAGTGGAACCTTTTGCTGTTGTAAGTTAGTGATTATGAGGCTTGCAGGAAAAATAGAAGTTAGCTAACTTTCTGAATACACCTTTCTCAAATAATAGGAATCATTTAAAAAAAGTAAATCAGGGGAGTAAAAGTAATTTTCAGTGCAGTGCTGAGAAGTGCTCTTAATTGGTTTGAACAAAGCTATGGCTTGGGGGACAGTAGGAGGCTTATAAATCTGCCCTTTGAGAATATTTGTCAGTGTTCTTTTTTTCAGAGGATTTTTATTGAGTGACATTGTTTTAGCACATTTCTCTAATGCTTTAGGGGAGTAGGGGGCAGATCTTAACCAGCACATCTTCAGTGCTAGAATCCCTTGGCAAAGCAACCCTGTTGGATATAATTCATTGTTTTGATATAACATTGATCTTTTTAAAAGTGGCACTTTGAAGTCATTTCTTATTTATTCTCTGCACACTAGGCAACATTCTGAGATCATATCACGTGCAGAGCCATCTACATGGGGGCCACTTCTGGCCCTGGCGTCCAGGTGTGCCGTAGCAGTGGCCCATCTGGTCAACAGAGTCCCAACTCCAAAGTGTGTGCCTTTCCCTCCAGTCACTTTATTTCATTTAAAATCACCTTTCTCAAGTGATTTTTTGCCTCTTGTACACCTCCTCTACATGGCTGGCTTTATATGTCTCTAAAAGAGATTGACCTGATGTAAGAAAAAATGTTAAAACTATTCCTTTCTAAAGTAAAAAGTCAAGGTTGCAAATAGCTAAATTCCTCACTTATCACAGCTCACTTGCTTGAGAAGATATTTCATGGTTTGAAATTTACTTTTCAGTATTCAGGGACTTGCAGATTGGTTTTACTTTTAGAACCAAGAGGTTGAAGAAAAGGCTCACTTATTTATGTATTTACAATTCCGGTTACTCTTTTAGCCTCGATATACCTGCAGGACCAGGCAGGTCTTCCAAACTCAGAACTTTTTATGTCCGAGTCCCCCACAATTGAGTTTGTTTTAAAACTCAAAAATACTGGGCTGTTCATTCAGACTATGGACTGTGCATGGTAGGTCTAGGGGTACAGGAACAAAGAATGAATTTGGGAGAGAGTAACAATGTGTGCATACATCTTTTAAGTGGCAGGGGCATCATATATGTTAAAAAATAAATTTAGATGACAGATGCTTAGAACAAATCCAGTCGGTGAAATACTAGACAGTTTGGTGGTGGGCGGGAGCGCAAAAAAAACCTTCAAGAGGGTAAGGAGGAGTTGACAGCTGAGCACCAAATAAGAATACGCCAGGTGAAGAGCAGGAGGAAGTTGGTTCCAGGGAGAGAATGGCAAGTGTGGAAAACCGAGGTCATCTGCGCCCATGTCCCAACCACTTGGCCCTTGTACCCAGGGCCACCACAGGAGTCCTGGCGAGCACTCCCTTCTAATATGGCCATTATTATCCAAGTTGTATTCGACTTTGTTATTTTTTCATAGGTAAAATGGCTGACACAGTAAGCTTGTAATGAATGGCATTTTTTAAATTTAACCACATAACTGACAATATTTCCTGCATTGTTATATTCCTGCATTTATATGCCTTGTTTAAGTTTTTATTCACTTAATTTCCCCCCTTGTTTCCATCAAAATTTTAAAAATCATCCAGGACATAGCCTTTTTCCTTTCAAGATTTATTTATTTATGCATACAAAAGCTGGGGTGTAGACCAGAGGTGTGGAGGAGCAGGGGGCGAGAGGATTCATCAGAGAGAGTGGGAGCAGAACACAGTTACACTGAAGGGGAGCTCATTGAGAGAAGCAGCAGGGAGAGGAGAGGTCTGCTGAGTGGCCAAGTGGGTCAGCCCCCAGGCTGGGGATGAGTAACTCAGGCTGCAGAAGTTGGGGTTAGCTTGGTAGTGCTGAGAGTTTAACCACTGGGCCACCAGTAAGCAAAAGCCAACATTGCGGTCAGTCCCAGGAGTTTTGCACAGATCAATGACATTCATGGTGTTACTTCACAGTTGTCTTGTAGTTGTATTGTGTATCACAAATTTGTTAGTGTTAAATGCAAGTTTATTTTTATCTATTGCGTTTGGAGGTAAGGTTGGTTGATAACATTGTGTGAGTGCCAGTGGCCAACATTATAAGTCAACATCATACCCTAACTGGGTGCTTACACTGAAAGGCTAGTTCCCATCTGTCACCATGAAACTGATCCCCTTCACTCAGCCACATCACCCCCTTCTCTTGTTATGCTCAGTGAAATAAGTCAGAGAAAGCAAACACCAGGTAATTTCACTCAAATGTGGGCTATCATTTTAAAAACACAAGTGTTCATATTTCGTTTAAAATACTGTTTACAATAACATATTGTTTATTATATCTTTTAAAAAATTCATAAAGTAGAATTTGCTGCATCTTAAATCATGTAGGTCTTAAATGTTGTTTGATTATGCCTAAACTGTGTGAACTCACAATCCCATTCACAATGGTGTATGTGAAAATGTTGTTGTCTCAGAATTCAGTTAATACTGAATGTTATTGATCCTGGAAATGTTTGCCAGTCTGAGAGCTGAAAATGTTACCTCATTGTAACTTGTTTTCCCCTAATTACTAGTGAAGTGTTGGTTTGAATGTTTGCTGACTCCTAGGATTTGTTTGCTCAAACCCTTTGTCAAATTTTCTGTTGACTAGTTTGCTTTTCTTAATGGTGTGTTGTTCTAATAATAGAGATAACAGTGTGCTGCCCTTTCTCTTCTAAGGTTGTGTTGGCTTTAGGCACACACAAGTTGTGTGTGTCAATCTGGAAATTGTTCTCATGACTTCCGAGCTTTGTGTCATGCCTAGAATGACCTCCCCATTTCGATATTATCCTTATTGTAATATCTTCCCCTACATGCATTCCTGTATATTCTCTTCATGGCTTAATGTTTACATCTTCAAGGAAGGCTGACACTGACTTTTGCATAAAACTTGAGAAACCAATGACAGGTGTGGGGGTGAAGAAAAGCTTGGTTTTAGACCTATTAAGCATGAGATAATTAATTAGAAGAGGGGACAGGGCTGGGGTGTAAATGGGAGGCTTGTGCACCTAGAAGATGTTTACATTGCTGGGGCTAGGGTCCTCAAAGCAGACATTAATTAGGGAATGGGGGATGGAGCCCAGAACCACTCAACACCTGAGGCACTCTGAGAGGTGCAGGTTGAGCAAAGGAGTTTGGCAAGAAAGAACCAGTGAAGTCAGAACAAAGCAGGAGAGAGTGATCCTGGGGAAGCCCAGAGACTGTTCCAAGACAAGGGTGTGGTCAAGCCCACTAAATGCACCAGGAGGTTGAGTAGGATGAAGACAGAGATGATACCGCATGTAGTGACTTGGAAGGGGCTGCTGACCTTGATGAGCAGATACGCGGCAGAGGTGAAAATGGAAGCCCCTGGCGTGTTCAGGAGTGAACAGAAAGGTGAGACATGGAGGTAGTAACCCACCGAGGAAACCCAATCCAGAAGCATTGCTGAGAGAAGGCAGGGGAGGAATAGAAAGGG